CTAAATGGATCTGCACATCTAGCTCCTCAACGCTGAGGTTACAGGACGGCGCTACCCATCCCAGCATGAGCCCGACGTCCTCCACCGTGCAAGCAAGGATTCGAACCGGCGACCTCGGCCTCAAGAGCCAGGTATCTTAACCACTACAGCCAGGACAAGGTGTTCAAAAGTGGAACCATACCGGTCGTGATATCCACCCCACCCCTGCAAGGCTGTAGCGTCCAACGACAAACTCAAAAAGATTCACATTGTCCGCCATAGGAGGCCTATCCCATGCCACTGTTGCAACACCACTGGGACGCTTATCCCACGTGCAGGCATCTACAACCAAGAGCAGCAGAAAACAGGCATATGTGCCAAGTGACTGCTGTAACCACACCCAGCATTGCTCCACCAAGCACTGGCAAGCAGCAAAGCACAAAACCACTCCATTACCAATCTTATCATCTTCACAAATATAAGAAACTGGCACTTATACCCTAAGAAGGGTTACTGGATTGCGAAGACACCAATTCCAGCGCCCTGATGATAACCATGCACGTCTCTCTTCCTCCATGTCCCTGGTCTCCTCCTGTGATTCAATCATCAACACCCTTCCCATCAAAAACGCTTCGCTCGATGCGGTTCACCCATAGTTCCACCTTCTGTTTTACCACTCCTCTTTCCCCCCAATGGGTGGGTGTGAATGTTGGACATTTATTGGACTGTATATCTACTGTTCTGACAAAAAACAGTAATTGCTTCGACAGTGTATGTTGTTGCAGCAGACTGACTTATCACTCTCATTGATAGCACACACACACCCATGCTCGTTGTGAACAACAAGTGGTGAAAGATGAGGCATCACCATTGTAAACTCTCCATGGATTGAAATGGCCAACCTTACCAACACCCTGTCCTTACCCTTTGCCTTTCACATCATCTCGAGGGAGCAGCTTCATAAGCTCCTGCTGTTCCTGAGTCGTGAGCATCTTCATACATGTCTCCATATTGACAATATCCTGCAGTCCATACAGCAGGCAAAGGAGAGATCAGTGACTGAGCTGACACCCTTTTACTTGCAAGCCATCTTTGTGTTAGTAGAACCCCCACCAGCAGACCATGCACACTTAACCAATAGGCAAGGGACAACATGCAATATCCCTGTCATTATGATAGGTAGCTATCCTTGCAGGGGTCCTCTTAGGAGTAGTGGTAACAAGGCAGTGAAAGGTGAATGTGAGAGAAGGACATAGCCAAAGAAGTTTCTGAAAATATCAGGTTCATAGATTTGCTTGTGAACTTACGGGTTGCAGNGTGGTAACTAGGCAGTGAAAGGTGAATGTGAGAGAAGGACATAGCCAAAGAAGTTTCTGAAAATATCAGGTTCATAGATTTGCTTGTGAACTTACAGGAAAGATATTATGCAAGAAAAATGAGCGATAGCGAACATCAGAAATCAAACAGCATCATACACATGAGTCCAGATAGTCGTGACCTCGAACCAATAGCAGAATTGCATCACGAGTTTCACCAAATAAGAGCACAGCAAAAGCTCATAATTGACAATGCTGGAATAGTCTCATCATATCATCAACGAAGAACCAATGTCGATATCCTATCTGGCGCTCGGCGCCCAGACTACAGATGGCAGATCCTATCTAGCCTATCTACGATGCCGCTGATGACGTCAATAGCTCCCCGAAGTACGAGCAGATCTCGGCCAATGCCGTTCGCCTCAAGCACCAGGTATGTCTCTCGTATCACTCACAACCTCGATCCCCAACTCACAGATGCCACAAGCACCCAAGAACCACCATGCGCCCCATCCAGCATACAGCAGCGCAGCTCACCTATGGCTGCCTGCTCCTTCCAGCTCGCCCGTGAGCGCGTGAGCACTAACATATCACAAGAGGCCTTTGACTGTCAATTTCATATTTGGGGTACAGGGAGTTGCGACCGGCCAGTTGGTTGAGAGAAACACAGGCCGAGCAACCAAGACATTTCCACAGCCTTCTGGGCCTTTCCAAAGCGTGCAGGCCCTGGACGAGAAACGCAGCCCCATACACTGACAGTTGGGAGGCCCAACCAACAGAGGCCCAGTAGCTGCGAAGTAGCACGCAGCATCCTTGGGCCTACCGGAAGCTTCTGGCCCCAGGCCAAGTCCTGCCAGGCTGCGAAGCAGGCAGGCTCTTTCCATATAGGAAAGAGCTCAAAACTCTCAGCCTCATTCAGGCACTCGCATGCTAGCGGCAGTGCTGGTGGAGCAAATGCTTGTGGGCTGCTGCTGGCGCTGAGAGGCGAGGTGCAGCACGTGCGTTCGTGCAGGGAAGCAGGGCGCTGGTGAGGGCAGCGCCATAGCCCAGCCTCCATAGCTGGTGGGCTTGGACTACAGTGGCGCATGAGTGGTCTTCGGGTGTAAGGGAGGAAGACGTGGATTTAAAGTCAGGGAAGGGCGAAGGACGATAATGATGATGATATGAGGGCACATACCTCGTATTGGCAATGGTCTGCATTTGGGCGACATCTTCAAGTACTTCGGGTTGTCGCTGATGTCAACAGTTGCATTGTCTATTAGTAGGCTGATCGTAGCTGTGTAGGAGTAGGCTGGGCGCTGAGCGCCAAGAGGGAGTGTGAAGGGACTGGACTCTTGTGTTGTGGCGGAGAGAGAAAGCTCTCTTTGACATTGGTTTTCAGTACTACGAACCTCCCTTGGTGTATTATTGGTGCAATCAGGGTTACCTGACCGAACGTTCGGGGGCCCCCAGGCTGGCCCCCGAACGTTCGGGCGTTCGGGCTCCCGTTCGGAGGCCGAACACCTCCAGGTTCGGCCCCCGCCAAAATTTTGTTCGGGGCCCAAAAATAAGTTTTTTTTTCTGATTTTTTTTTTTTTGTGAGTTCTCTATGATGTAACCTACACACCTATAAATTTTGAAGCCATTCTGCTAAGCCAAAAAAAACATTAAAAATCGTCAAAGATGGGGGTGTCAAAACGTGCTCGCCCACTCACTATTTCGTTTTTTTTCACTTTTAACTTTTTGTTTTCACTTTATTTCGGGGCCTWAAMAAWWTTATTATTTTTTGAAAAWWYTTTAATGAGTTATTGATTATGTRAACTACATATCTGTAAATTTTCARGGCATTTGTCAATKSCAAAAAATAATTARAAATCGGCAAAGATGGCGGTGTCGAAAAGGTGCTGGCACACTCACTCATTTTAATTCTCTTTTTATTTTTTCGTATTTTTATCATAGTGTTTATTTTCTGTATTTGATTTTTAATTCAAATTTGGTAAAGAATTTGGATGTAGTGCCCAGGCAAATGTTGTTTAGTTTATTTTTCTCCATAACGTTTTTTTTTTCGGAATTTTTTGAAAACTTGTTTGTTGTTTGTTTGATTTTTTTTGGTCTGCGTTCGGCCCGAACGGCCGAACGCCTTTCGAAGGGGTCCCGTACATTCGGGCGTTCGGGTTTGGGCGTTCGGCCTGTCCCGAACAAGCGACCCTGGGTGCAATGCTGCTCTCTGGACACAGTGTGACTATCTGGCTTTCAATGCGATGGTGTAGTCTGGAATTTGTCATCTCAATGTTGCTTATTTTTCTTGCACTTCGCTAGTCCTCTGAGAAATTCATTCAATCTGGCACTTTCCTTTCTGCAGCATCTTGTCATAGTGGGTGACAACCTGTGGAGCGGTCTGCATCAGTTCCTCCCGTGTAAACCATCTCTGTCTAAACCGAACGTGGTACTGCACGGAGGATGTCCCTGCCTGTAGGTCTTGGAACTGGCATCTCCGTGTGATCCACAATATCATCGATGTCGACCTCTCCATCCATGGTTGGGGGCAGCACTGAGCGACGAGAAGGAAACTGGTCAGTCTCCTTGAATGGTGCGAGCTTGGAGGCGTGAAAGACTGGGTAAGTGCGAAGGTGACCAGGGATCTGAACTACATACGAAGGCCCATCTGATAATCTCCAACGATATCTAGAACCTCCCAGGGTCCAAAGTACTGTGGCATGAGCTGCGGGAGATCCCGTGCTCCTGACCCAGTTATGACGACTTAACCCAGACTTTGTCCCCTACCTGGAATGTAGATGGGCGTCAGTGCTTATTCTCAGACTATATCATCGCCGCCTGTGCAATGTGCATCTGGCAAGCCACTCACTTTGCGTCTACTTTCAATTCTAATTTGCTGGATTGATCGATGCTGAGGCTTTCTTTTACGTATGTATTGTATGGTCGGTCTTGTGAAGTTCAAACTGCCACTGCCTACTGCATTAGTTGTTCATATCGATAGGTTAACTCTAGTGTGACAGGTGCAGCAGTTGGTTGGTTCTCAGGCAATAGGGAATCCAGTGGTAGTCTAGGCTTGAACGTCAGTAGTAGACGGTTAGGGCTGACCCCAGTGGCGCTGTGCACAGCGTTGTTGTACAAGCTGGCGGTGAGAGCAAGTTTCTCACCCCAGTCCACCTGATTGGGCTTGATGTAATGCCGCAACAGTTGTACAACGCGGTTCAGCTGCTCTGCTTGGTCGTTTGCCTCTGGGTGGTTTCCGGAGGTCATCTGCAGCTGTGTACCCTGTTCTGCAGCTGCAGCCTTCCACAATTCACTTGTGGATCTGACATCCTTGTCACTAACAACAGACTTAGGAAGCCCAAAGTCCCTGACCCAGTTCTCCTTGAAGAGTCTAACCACATACCCCGTTTTCGCTGTTTGAGGCATTGTAACTAACCTAGCATACTTACTAAACCTATCCACAATGACATAGACATAGCGCATTCCACTCTTGCTGGTGACCAGCGTGTCCATGAAGTCCATGGACAGGCTCTCAACGGGCATTTCCGGTATCGGAAGGGACTTCAGAAGCCCAAGAGGGGCCTGTGTACGTGGCCTGTCTCTCTGACATACCTGACAGGTTTCCACGTACAGCTTGGCGTCTCTCATCATTGTGGGCCACCAGAACTGCTGCAGCAAGTTGGCCGCAGTCTTTTTATAGCCAAAATGTCCTGCGGCATCGTGACACTCACCTAAAAATAAACTACGCAAAGACTCTCGATTAGGCACACACAAACGTTTATTCTCCGACTTCTCAAGGAACAGCAGGCCGTTGGCCAACTCAAACTCGAGTCTGCATATGATCTCAGCCATAAACGGATCCTCGCAATAGGCTTCCACCAAAGAATGAGTAACATCGTCTGCAAGCCAAAACTCAATGATCACTGCACCAGAGAAGTCTGGCCTACGCAACAACGCATCAGCAACCTTGTTATACTATCCCTTGATGCACTGGGTTCAAAGTCATACTAAATGACTTCGATCCAACGCTTCAGGGCATCAGAGAGTACTGGTTGAATTCTCATCCAACGCAGGGTCTGATGATCGGTCCTGACGTAGAACAAGCGACCTAGGAGGTAGTGCCTCCAATGGGTTAGAGCTTTGTAGATCGCATAGAGCTCCTTCTCATAGATGGACTTGGCCAACTTCTGAGAGGACATCTTTTTGGACATGTACTCTATTGGCCTTAACTTGGGCCCCTCCTGCTGCGCGAGCACGGCACCAATGCCATATTGGCTAGCATCCGTTGTGACTATAAACGGCTTATCAGGATCAGTAAGTTTCAAAACCTCGTAGTGTGTCAGAGCATGCTTCAGATGTTTGAAATCAGCCTCACACCGGTTTGTCCACTCCCATGGGGTGTCAAGGCGGGTCAAATCCGTCAAAGGGGCAGCAACTATGCTATAGTTCTTCACAAAATTACGATAGTAGCCGGTCATCCCTAAGAAGGACCTCATCTCAGTCACAGACTGAGGACGCAGCCAGTCACAAATGCTAGCCACCTTCGTGTCATCGGGCTTCAAACCCTCCGCGGAAACGTCATGAGCCAAGTATAAGATCCGGGTGCGATCAAACTCGCATTTCTCCCCGTTGATCTTGAACTTGTGTCGAAGGAGACTGAGGACTTTATCTAAGTGCGCACCATGCTCCTCGACAGTTCGACTAAAAATAAGTATGTCAGTGAGGTACAC